AGATAAACTCCCTAAGAGATTTATCTTTATTCAGGCTGAGTCCCCTCATCATTCTAGGACTCTTGTACCTTATCCGCTTATTTCGGATTCCGATATCTTCAGAGATAACTTCGGCCTTGCCGAGATAACCTCGGTGTCATGACCAGGACACATGGCACCTCAGCTGACACGTCGGCGTCACCTTAACCACGTATTGATACTCAGAAAAAATATCTCCACAGATAGTATTCTAGTTATCAAAATGTCAACGTGACACGCGACCTCTGATCCTCAATTGGCTCTGCCACTGAATATATATAATTAAAAAAACTTTTACTAACCCGAAAGCCCTATACTTGTTAACCCTGGGGCAAAAATAAAAATAAAAGGAAACTCTGATCCAGTAAATAATCTTTGATCCTACTTCCATGGAATTATTTATGTAATGTTGTTTTGCACGTAACCTCCATGTGAGAGGGAGGTATTGTTTAGGGTAAATTACAAACAAAATCTTTGAGACTTATTTAAATTATAAATTACTCTTTGTAATTTTAAAAATTACATTATGTCTCTTAAAATTTTTAATTTTATAATAAATAGATTTTTTTATTAATAAATCATCAAGTTAATTAACTGTTTTTAATAATGTTAAATTTTATTTCAATTAATAATTCAGATAATTTTATTATTGTATAGGCGAATAATTAGAAATTTCACTTATTTAATTAATTCCGTTAAATAAAAAATTTTGACAGGAATGTATTTTTAATGTTTCAAATCACAAAGGGCAATTTATATTTTAAGTAAATTTCAAGAGGTGTATTTGTAATTTACCCTATTGTTTATTATCATCCATACCTACATAAATAAACCAATATATTAGTTAGGGGTGAAACCAGAAAATTAAATTAGAAAGGCATTTATCAATTACAACATTAAAAATTTATATAAAAGTATTTCACATAAATTTTTACGATTGATTTCAAGAAAGATAAAAAATAATAATGTTATTTGTAACTAATATATCATGGATAATATAAAAAAAAAAAGTTATTGATATAAGTTTTAAAATAAATTATATAATGATAAAATAATTTTTTATACAAAATATGAGTAAATATTCAATACAATACTAATAGTAATATTGCGTCATCAATGACATATAATATCACAAACCAATAGTAAATAAATATATGGAGGATAAACCCCGCATGTCAAATTTAACTAATAATCTAATAAATTTCATATTTTCATTGAGATTAATTATGTTTGTATATTAATAATGATAGACATTTTTATTATATTAAAATTTTTATAAATAATAATATTACTCATCGTAATCTCTTTATTTTCAATTAAAACAACTATTATTATTTTTATAATTTTAAAAATATCATTGATATTTCACTCTAAATAATATTTTTACATTTTTTATTTAAAATATTTTCTTTATATTTAAAAAAAAAAATCCAAAACTCAAAGGTATATGTGACCGCCTAGACCCTCTTTACCTCCCCCACTGGATATAGTTAATACACCAAGAGAGAAAACAGGTTATGATAGTGACGAAAACATGTTTTGCATAACGAGGCCAACAATACTGTTCAATTGATAAGGTGGACTGAAAACAAACTCTGTTTGAAAACAAATGTATTGATAAAATCCCAGTAAACGAACACCAATGGAAAAAGTAAGTGTAAGCAGTATTACAGCCAAAATTTTCAATCTCGCCAATTAAGTTTGGCAACAAAAAAGCAAATTCAATCATGAGCTCACACTAAACCATATGATGGTGAGGAACCAGCCTAAACCGAATTAGAAAAAACAAAAGCAAAAACATGTTATGATGTTGTATATATTTGTCCTCTTTTCGGGGGGAGTTGATGTAATAGAGAATATATAAATATGAATATATGATATAATAGGATAATTGTATGGTACATAATGTACTATTGTCACATATTTTTATGGTATATAATATGTATTTTTATGATAAATATTTCATATTTTTTTAATAGAGTTACAATAATTTATAATTGAGAAATAAAATTACACATTTTGTGATAATATTACATATTTTTTTAAAAAATATTTGAATAAAAAAATATGTGATATTATCATGAAATATGTAACTTCATTTTTAAACTATAAATTATTGTAATTTTATTAAAAAATTATGTAAGTATTTGGCATGCACTAAAAACAACCCCGTTTGGTAGCTTGAATTTCCTGTGGCTTGAGTGGCCCGAAATACCAAAAAGATGTCGTTTTGAATTTTTTTTTTTTTTTTTCATCCTTTTCGACTTAGATAGAGATAAGAAGAAAGGCCGAAGAGAAGAAAGAAGAAGAAGAAGAAGAAGAAGAAGAAGAGGAGGAAGAGAATATCATCATCAACAACATATCATCATCATCAACAACAACAACAACAACAAATAGAACAGAGATCAGCCAATATTTTTTTTTTCCCTTGACCTTCAGATCTAGATCTACTAGAATAAAAAAAAAAAAAAAATCAAGAACAACATCTTCATGAACACATCTTCAACAACAAATTTTTTTTTTTAATTTTTTCTTTCATCTTCAGATCCAGAAAAAAAATATAGAAAACAGATCTGCCGGTGATGGCAGTCGCCGGTGATGGCGGTGATGGCGAGGGCGGAGTGGAAGAGGAAGATCGTGGAAGAGGAAGATTAGTTCGTGGAAGAGGAAGAGGAAGGAAGATCAGATTGGCCCTTTCTCCCTTTCTCTCTCTTTCTTCTCTCCTCTCTCTCTTTCTCCCTCCTTCCCTCTCTTTCTCCCTTTCTTCTTGCGTTTCACAGATAAAAGCGAAAAAAAAAAAAATCAAAATCAAAACGACGATGTTTTGATTTTGAGCCATTCGAGCCTGGGGGATTTCGAGTTACCAGCCATTTTTACACTAAAAAAGTATCTTTTTTTTGCATACATATGCTTATTTGGATCACATCAATCAACATTTTCTCTCTATTTTTTTACTCACTTTCTCTATTTTTTTACACATTTTTTTTTTATAAAAAGTTAAAAAATATATTCATTTAGAACATCTCAAACACCCCTTTAATAATATTTATCATAAAAATACATAATAACTACTATATATAATACACACTATTGGAGCCGAGTGTAGCATAGAGTTTTCTGATATAAGAAATATGTGTGTGTGTATGTTTGGTAGATAGCTGGTGAGTGTAGCATTCCAAGCAGACTCACATACGTGTATTGGGCACCTTAATACCTGTCACAGTTATGCGCTCACTGTATTTAAATGATACTCTCTTTTCTCTCTCTCTCGCTCTCTGTGTGACTGATCTGACCGAATCTTCAATGCAATTCAGATGTGTAATTTACAGAGAGAGAGAGAGAGAGGTTTCAGCTTTTGGCGAGCTACTGTAATCAATTAAGTGCTTGTTCGGCACGAAGAAGCTTGAGGTTTTTTTTAGGTAAAATAGTTATAAAAATAAGAAAAAAAATTCAAAAATTAATAAGATAAAATATTATATTTAAATTATAATTTTTTTTTTTTTCATAGAAGTAAAATAAAAATTAAAAAATTTATTTCAAACGAGATTTTTTAACTTTAGACTAAAATAGTTACAACATTCAAAAGTCAAAAAATCAAAACATAAGAGAATAGATAAGAATAGGATGAGGATGGGCCCTTTTATTTTTTTTTTTATTATTTTTTTTTTTGTCTTTTGGCTTCTTTCAATTTTTGTCATTGATTTGATAAAAACTTTTTAGAAAATTTTCAAAATTTGACTATTATAACAATAAATTCTGATTTTTTTTTAAATTTTAATTTTAAAATTTTGATTTATTTTCAATTTCATATTTACCTATTTTCGTTGAATAAAATTGACAAAAAAATAATATTTTAATTGATAAAACTATGTTTTTTCTGTCAATTTTACTTAATAAAAATAGGTGAATGATTTAGATTAAAAATAAATAAATAAAATTAATATTTAAACTGATAAAATTCAGAATTTATTTTGTATAAGACTCAAATCTTAATTTTTTTTGTTGTTGCAATTATTCCAAAAAAATTTAAGTGTACGTTTATTAATAAAACTCACTACAATAAGTTAAATAGTAAGAAATAAGATTTCGGAGACGAAATAATTTCTTAGATATAAAATATATTAATTGTCAAAAATAAGTTGTATTTTTAGCAATGAAATTGAACATTTAAAAATGAATTATTGGGATGTTCTGTGCAGCTTATCAGAGCTATTTTATTTTATTTTTATTTTTATTTTGGATGCTTATACTAGGTTGTTTGGTGCAATTTATACTTATAACTTATTAGGTAAAAATAAATTAAATAGGCTAAAAAAAATTAAATAAGAGATGTTTATGACTTCCACTTTTAAATTATCAACTTTTCATTAAAAATGTGTTGCACAAACAACTCCCTTTTTTTATACATATATTTTTTTTGGAACTAAAATTTTCATTAAATATTTTGGCACAAAATTGTTATGTTACTCGTGTATTTATTAATGAAAAATTTTAAATTGTCATTATTTTATTTTATTTTGAACTTTTTGAAACGATTCTAATTACATATTGAATCTTATGTTTTTTCTATAATAAAACAAATTAACTTTAGGAACAAAAGAATTTAGTTCTTAAAATATGTTGTGAGGTGTTTTTAGGGGGTTTCTCGGGCCTATTTTGATAACTCGAACCGTTCATGTTATGAGAGTAGAGAGAGAAAAGAAAAGAGAAACTCTTATATTGAAAATTGAATGAATAAATGAATAGTGCAATCTCCTTTATATAGGAGATAAGCTAAGGTATATATAAAGAATATGCTATATGCACATATAAGGTATATACAGAGAATATGCTATATTTAACACCCTCAAGATGGTAATACAGATATCAAGTTGAGCTTAGAAAGTAATCGTCCTGGAGGATGAGCCTTGGTGAAGATATCAGCTATTTGATCAACAGAGATAACAAAGATAAGACGAACAGTGTCACCAGTAACATGTTACCGTATGAAGTGACAATCAATCTCAATGTGCTTGGTGTGATAATGGAAGACATCAATATGTGCAATTTGAATAACACTCTGATTGTCACAATAGAGATTAGTGGTAGCAAGATGAGAAATTCACATATCAGAAAGAAGCCAACGAAGCCACACAAGCTCTTGAGTAGTGTCAGCAAGAGCACGATACTCAACCTCAGTACTAGAACGAGCAACAAGAGTTTGCTTATTGCTATGCCCGGTAATGAGAGAATCACCCAAGAAGAAGCAAAACCTTGTACTAGAACGACGGTTAGTAGGATCCCCTGCCCAATCTGCATAAGAAAATGCATGTAACTATAGAGAATAATGTGCTGTGTAGTGAAGACAATGAAACATAGTGTCTTTGAGATAGCGCAACATGCGAACTAGAGCATCATAGTGTGGAGAGCGAGGAGCAGCCATGAATTGACTTACAATATGAACAACATAGGCGATGTCTGGACGAGTAACTGTGAGATAGACAAGACTGCCAATTAGTTGACGATATAAAGTAGCATTAGATAATAGGTGACCATCAAGAGGTGTGAGACAAGTTTGAGGATCAACTAGAGTAATGGCAGTCTTGCAATCGGTAAGACCAGCACGAGTCAAGAGATCAGAGATATACTTGGCTTGGGTGAGAAAGTAACCAGAAGGATCATAAGAAATTTCCAAGCCGATGATGTAACTAAGCAAACCTAAATCTTTCATCTCAAATTGGTGACTAAGGAACTGTTTGAGACTAAAGATGCCCACTGTGTCATCTCCAGTGATGATCATATCATCACATAGAGAAAAAGAAGAATAATACCATGCTCTGTCTGACATATAAACAAGGCAGAATCATAGGCACTGGAGGAGAAGCCAAAGTCATGAATAGTAGAATTGAACTTGGCAAACCAGGCACGAGGAGCTTGTTTCAAATCATACATAGCATGGAGAAGTTTGCAAAGTTTGATGTATAGAAAGAGGAACCAGACAGAGATTGCATGACAATCTGCTAGAGGAGATGTTGGCGGGAATGAAGAAAGCTCCACAGGAGATGATGGAGGAAGCTCCACATGAGGTAATAGAGGAGGCACATGACCATTATTAGATACAGAAACCTCATAATTGACAGTAGGCATAGGAAACTGTGAAGTCGTTGGACCATAATTTGCATCAAAATTCAGGAGACATCAAGTCTATAGAAAGATCAGTAAAAAACAGGGAATGAGTGGACCGAGGTAGGTGAAACTTAGAGAAAGTGGAGAACATTTTGTGTTCCCAGAAAATCACATGACGAGAAATATGAAGACGCTTAGAGACTGGATCCTAACAGCGATGCCCTTTATATTTTATACCATATCCTAGAAAAAAGTAAAGACGAGAATGAGTTTCTAGTTTAGTGTGTTCATGAGGTTGAAGGAGAACAAAACAAGTAAAGCCAAAAACTTTAAGAGTGGTATATGTAGAAGAAGAACCATACAGACACTCATAAGGAGGGAGATTATCTATGAGAGGAGTAGGCACGCGATTTATGGTGTAGACAACAGCTTCCCTCCAAAAACTTTTCAAGACATGAATAAGAGATTAGAAGGGCGCCCAAGTAATGTTTAGAATATGACAATGCTTTCTTTCGGCGCGACCATTTTGTTGGGACGTGCCTGCACAAGAACGATGAGATTGGGTACTATGTGCCTGAAGAAAGAAAAGAAAATCAGAATTAAAGTATTCCATAGTGTTATCAGAACGAAAGAGTTTAATAGTATGAGAAAACTGAGTGTGGACCATAGCAGAGAAATCATAGTAAATTTGTTAAGTTTAGATCGATTTTTTAGAAGAAATATCCAAGTATAACGAGAAAAATCATAAACAAAAATTACAAAATATCTAGACCCCCCCATGGTCTGTGTGGGGGAGGGTGCCCAAATATCTAAATGCACAAGATCAAATGGGGCAGTAGAAATAGAGTTAGTTTTATTAAAAGATAATGCAGGTTGTTTAACAATTTAACAAGGTAAACAATCAACATCTTTAAAAACAACACAACCTAACTGACCATTAGAAACCAAAGTTTCTAAACGACTAAAAGAGACATGTCCTAAACAATAATGCCAAATGTGAAAAGAAAACATAAAGTGGAGGCAGCGGAAGAGGTAATAGAAGCAGCAGTGGATGATATAGATGGAATGCGAA